GTGCGACTTAGCTTGTGATTCTGGTAAATTTGTATAAATATGATCTATTAAACTGTGATTATCTGTAGTGATACTGTTTATCAATTGTCTATAGTTATTATCATTGATGAAAAAATTATATAAAGGCCTTCTAATTGCCTCGTCCAACCAGTTTACATTAAAGTCACCTATGAAAATGCTGAATTGGGAAGTACATAACATCAAAACCTCAGTTAATGCTACTATCAATTGTTGCACTGGAATTTTGGGTGATCGGTAAATACCAATAATGGTAACATGTGGAAGAATCATTACTTTCATAATGGTTACCTCAATACCATTAATATTTTGACAACGTGGATATCCTGGTAAGAACTCAACTCGGCTAAAAACCGCCATACCACCAAAGGGTCTTGAAGTCAAAGAGTGCCCATCATTTCTGAACAAAGTGTACCCATCAATTTCATACATGACATCATTATCTGATCTCATACATCGTGTTTCAGAAAATATATTGATATCCATATTTGTAAAATTGAGATCGCATCGAACATCATCAATATGTTTATGTAAGGACCGTGAGTTGAGGTAGCATAATTTAAACGACACTTGGTCTGTCTTATAAATAGGAGTAACACTAAGTTTCAGTGCACGTTCATTCCTCAACAATTGCATTTCAGCTGCAACATGAGGATTGACAGCTATTTTTTCTTCACAAAGGTCAGTGATATATAAACCTTCAATTGTTGTTACCCTGCTTAAACCGACATAATGTATATGGGGTATGGTTCTTCTTGTATTCAAATTGACAACAATTCTTTGTTCAGTGTCACCTTGTGAACGATGAATTGTCTTAGCAGCAGCAGGTCTCAGTGGAAATTGCTTTCTTACAACTTGTGCAGTTTGGCTCCTGCCCACATTGAACTGAGTAGTAATTGGTTTAATTGGAGTTCATGTTGACTCAATACCTTGAACAAAAAGATTTCTATTTTCATTTCTGGTTTTCTCACCAACATCTGAATGACCGAACTCTACCCATATTACTCCAGATGGTTTATCTCTTTGATTTAGTTGTATCTTCTTAACAACATTACTGGCACCATTAGTCAAGCCATCGTCAGTGCGGACATTTAGTGCAATCTCAGTTCGCTCCCCAACTGAAAGTTGAAGGTTTGAAGCAATTTGCTTTGTTTTCCTTGGATCATCTGGTATTTGACTCAAAATTTTGTCTCGAAGTTGAACGGAATTAGCTCCTATGACACTGTCCACCGCTTTAATGGAAAACTTTTCGCCACTTGCTTCTTTATGTACTTTGTCATTGATCTCATTTACCTTTTGGTTTTGTATGAACAAATGAGGGACATCCATAGGCTCCTGTGTGCTATTTGCTTTTATTAATCTTTCTTTTAGTTTCAAAATATCATTCTTGGTATGTTTGCCTTCCCTCAGCCTGTTTAATATTTCAGCAAATACTTTGCTCTCTCTTTGTCTCATTATTTCTTGAAGTTCAAACATATTAAAATAATCATGCCACTTATTAGGAGCAAGAATAGAATATTCTGAACTGTCTAGATCTTTAAATATATACCTGTCCATTACAGGTTCTAATTGAAATAGATCACCAATTGCAACTATGCTTACACCACCAAAGTCATCTCTACACCCTTTGACATCTTTCAGTCTGTTATTTATTTGAACATTAAACATTGTACTACCAACCATGGAGATCTCATCTAAAAATATAAGTTTTAAACCACCAAGTTGACATCTTAAAGTGTTTAGCCTGCTTGAATCAAGTGGTTTATAGTTCTTCAAGGATTGACATGCTGGTATTGCAAGTGCATTATGAATTGTGTTACCTTTAATGTTAAATGCTGCTTTGCCAGTTGGTGCAAGCATTAATATTTTCACTTGATGGAAATCATCGCCTGCTCTTGTGTTGTAATATTTTAATGCAGCTTGATAAAGACTCTTTGTCAGATGAGATTTGCCAACTCCAGCCCCTCCACTGAGAAAACAGTAGAATGGATTCTCAGAAGTTTTAATAAGATGCAACACATGATAAAAAAATTCCTTCTGTTCTTTGTTAAGTTTTTGCACCATTCCTCTGTAAACATCATCCTGTTCTTCATGTAATATTAGCTGTTCAGTATTTGATGTAGTTGCAGGAATTCCAAGATCAGCAGATAGGTCATAGGTGCCATTAAATTCTGGATGAAGGTCCTGTGTACCTTGGTCTTCATCTTGACGCTCAATGTTTTGTGTTCCTGGAGCAATAAGTTCATAGTTATCATCATTACCATCCATATTATTTAGCTGTTCTTGGATCTCATTTAGATCTTCACTACAAATAGCGTACAGTTTCATTTGCTCATCGATTGAATCTTTAAGTTGTAGATAGCGCTGTTGGTAGGATGAGCAAGTTTTAATTAAGTCTGCTGTTTCATTTCTCCACGATGTGAATAACATAATTAATTCACGGTAATGTTTCTCAGCATCAACATCCTTGTTAAAAAACACACTTCGAATAATTCTGGCTTTTCTCCTTTTTTTATTCTTTTGTTTAATTTCATTTTCCTCATTATAATCATCGTCATTATCATCCAAATTTGTTTCAATTGGATAGGTATCAATATCTAGTTCACGAGATGGTTTGATATGTGGCTTACCACAAGAGTCATACCATGCAGCCCAATCAGCAAGTGACAAATTGTCAAGTGTAGCTGGTCGTTTTGTGTAGCGTTTTATTAAACCAGATGCATAAACCTCATCTGAGTCATCTTCCAAATCATTAATTTCTTGCAATGGTTTTAGCAGTTGAACTCTATCCTCAGGAGGTGCAGTATTGATAAATACAACTTGACGAGAAGATTTTCTCATTGGAAGTTGCAATACTATATATACTGCTTCTTGTGCACTTATTTCAACATTGTTCAAAAATTTATTTCCAATATCTCTTACTTGTTGCTTGATACTAGAGTTTCCCCTTCTAGGCAGTTCTTAATAGCTCGCTCATGCCTTTTTGGGCTTTGGATATATATGATACAATGTACATTGCACATGCATATACATCAAGTACAAATTGAATGTCCATATTCGCACGCCAGGCACTCAGACATGCAGCATTATAATTGTTGATCCTTAATTCATTTGATTTTCTTTTCAAAAATATGGTTGGAGCCTTCAGGCTGGATTGAACAGCCAGCAAATAATTTTGTTCTGTTAATTTAAGATTTACCATCAATTGGTCAAATGAAATATTGTCACCCTCCTTCAGATCATTTAGATGTTTCTTTATAAACTTCCAAGTACTTTTATGTTGTTCAAGTTCATTACAATCCATATCAGCATCTAATGGATATAAAATTTTAGTTGACTGCATAGGTGGTTGAGGGTAATTAAAACGACATACACTTTTGGACTTCTTGCGACAAGTGTGAGAATGTCGATGAACCTGCCTATTCACAAGAGTAAGTAACTCTTCATCCCCAGTTGGCTTTTCACATGTGATTATTTTATCAATAAATGAGACAACATCATGGTCAAAATGCACCCCAAATTTAGGAGCATTTTCTAGCCATATTAAATATGAATATGAGGTGATCCCCTTTGTTGATATTCAACTCTGTAAAACCAGTCTGAAATTTTTCCTAGAGGTGCAACTTTACTTAAAAGGAACTTTTGTAGAAACTTTTGTATTTGATAATCAAAATGCCTAGCACATGTCACTGGATCACTCTGAATTAACCTGCTTCTCTCCTCCCAGTTGAGGTTCTCAAGTTCATTGTCAGTATATTCTTTGTTATCAACAAGATTACCAAGTATTCTTAGTAAATGAATCCATTGTGTTTCTGCAGAAGAGAAGCTACAGAATAATGAAGCAGATCCTAACTGCGTTATCATTGCAAATATATCCTTTTTGGCTTTTTCAAAATATGAAGGTGAACCCCTCAGAGCTCTCAGAAATTTAAAACCTTGATCATGGTGAATTATGTTACTGATTGCACCTGGTTGTTTTAGTTGACCAGCAGTAATTGTCCTACTATTTTGTCTACATTTTCTTAATGCAACTTGTGATTGCCCAAGCAAAATCTTCATTTGCAATTTCTTTGTTTTAAAGAAAATATTTTCGACACACATTGCAGCCCTTCGGTCAGACCGCCTTAACTCAGATTTGCAAATATCACTATAATGGACATCAGTTATCCTATTTGTATTGTCTGGTCGTTTTTGTCCAAGAAATATACCAGGATATGCTAATTCTTCTGAATATTTATCCCTGAATATACTCATAGGTTTATTACCTTCACCAGGTGCAACATTCAAAATATGCTGACGTTCATTATCAGTGACAAAATCTGGAGATGTTAACATAGTGTCAGTGACACCAGCAGGTATTTCTGCCTCATCTTCACTCCAGTTTTCATCATCATCACATGCTAATGTTTGTTGGGTCTTACAGTCTGCACCACAATTCAAGCTCTCTGCATTACAGTCCTCAACATTTTCTGAACCCTTTAAGATTTGATCATCATCACTTTCATCAAATACAAAAATATTTGAATGATTTTGAAGCCAAGTGCCACTGAAAGTTATACCTTCATCTTTATAAAGGTTGCCATTAGATACAAGCCATTTTGCAGCTTCTGCTACTTTCTTCGGTCTTATATTGAGTGACAAAGCCGAACTTTTATACTGCAATCTTCTCTTAAGGTTAACTTTAATTGTGCTGGTTTCATTTGGAAACCTTGGCAACATGTTAACAGTGTTAGCAACATCTGCTGGGACATTAACAATATTTCCATTGATTTTTAGTTGTCTGCCTCTAGGAGCCTGCATTATTTTTTGAATTGTGAGTCTTGGAGCAAGCAATCTACACTCTAACTCATTTAGATTGAAAAATGAAGGCTTTTCTGGAAATTGCATCCCATTTATGGCAGCACAAGGTGGCACCTTATTGTTTTTTAAGTGCTTGGCACATGTTTGACACAACCACTCCATATTATTAACACTCTTTTTATTTAATAATCTTTTTTGAACATCAGGATTATTTTCTTTAAGAGTTGCAGCTGGAATGACACTATGCTTATACCATAATTGGTCACAACAAGTGCAAATATAAACAGAACCTTGTGAGACAATATCATGAAATTCTGATATCAAACTTTGTAGTGATTGAAACTCACGTTTTTGTCTCCTATACTCCTTTGCATACAGTCTCTTCTTTTGCTTAGCCTTAAGACTCTTTGTTGAGGGCAGGAGACGCTCACTGATTTGTTTATGTTTCCTATAATCTCTCATATATTGTCTTTTCTTTTCCTTAGCCTCAGGGTCATGTGTTTCGTTAGCTCGCTTTCTTTTCATGTAGGCTTTAGTATATTCTGTTCTCACTTGCTTAGCCTGGGAGCTTTCAGTTAGCTGCTTAGAACTTATCTCAAAAATTCTACTTGTAAGTAATTCATTATGGCAGGCACCTTGGATTGAAGTACATGGCAATGTTGAAACATAGTGGTACTCATCTATATGACCCAAATAGACATTCGTTAATTGACATCTTGATGAAACTGGTTGTATTATACTGTATTCACTAAATCCTTCATGTGTCTCAGCAATAATAATTTTTAACTTAAGCTGGTCTGCTACAGCTTGTATAATCATAGCATCACCCCATGTCCCCTGCATAGACATATTATTGAGGTATTCTAACCAAGAATTTTCAGTATTACTTTCAATGAATCTTTCAGGGTTATCTCTCAAATATGCAATACCAGCTGCTCTAACTTCTAAGTGTTGCCCAGGGTCACCATATAACTGATGTGAGACAGCTCGGAAGAAACAGTCACCATCACCACCAACATCAAATGGTCCTAACTGAAAGCATCTTAACCTTTGTTCTAACACTAAATTTGATAGAATAGGACCAGGATTCCTTTCAATATCCCCTGACAACATTAGTTTCCTTTGAGATATCTGATATTGTTTATTGTCAAAATTGTCATAATTAGTGATACCTGAAATGTGTACTAAGCTCTGAGCACATGGCTTAAAACATCCAAATGAATTGATAAAAATATGTTGCATGTGCACAAACTGAAAACAACATTGCTTAAAATTACTAACTATCTTATTCAAAATAGATGACCTAGGAACAGTTTTCACAAAATAATGCTTTAAAAATAATCTATTTTTTCTCTTTCTCATAGCCAATATAATTCTCTGTAAAGGTAATCTGGAAGGTGCACGGTCTCTAGATCGCTTGGCATTTGCTTTAATTAATTTACGTGCAGTCCATCTGCATCTACATACACAGTGAAATGAACTGATACACTCACATGTATTAATATAGCCATGGGTAGGATATAAATGTACAATGTTATGTATATTTTCCTGGTAGTGAATTATAACAGATTTCGGTATTAATATTTGTTTGAGAGAAGCTTGTTCAGATCTCCGAAGAGATTGTTTTGATCTCCGAAGAGGCTGTTTTGATCTCCGAAGAGATCGTTTTAATCTCCGAAGAGACTGTTTTGCCCTCCGAAGAGGTTTATTTGCCCTCCGAAGAGGTTGTTTTGATCTCCGAAGAGGTTGTTTTGATCTCCGAAGAGATTGACTACTTACCAGCTGAGGATTAGCTTCCATGTTACTCCAAAGTATTGAAACGGCGAGGAAAAGACAGCAACTGCAGGCAAAATTTTGACGAAAACACTCAAAATATGACACGAGGCTGAACACTAGGGCTTGAAATATTGCCGATAATCCGATATGATAACGATCGTCTACGAAACGTCTACGATGGTTTGTCGACAACAAGCACATGTCGTTCTCGACTTCTCGTTGTCTCGTTCACTAAAATTACACGTCAATTTGTTTCGTTGTTCTTTATGGTTCTTTCCCAGTAAAAAACCTGCAAAATGGCGTCAACAACATCAACGTCAACCGAACACTGTAAATATATATATTTTTATTATAGAATTTTATAAATACCTTTATAAGTCCCAAAATTGTGCAACCAAGCGACTCGTATAAATTAATACACCACTGAGGTTGTATTAAACACCTCGTGTTTCTAAATTCATGAAAGCCTTGAAGGCTTTTTTGAAAAACGCTCATGACCCAATCTATTGACCTAAAATATTTTAATTTTATGATTTGGTTTAGCTGATTCTGAAACAGTAGAAGGATATGTTCATCTTTTGAGTGACGTCAATACCGCTGCAAATGGCAAGACAAAATATTTTGATTTTCAAATGCAGACCTGTGAAAGTCAAACTGTGCAACTAGTTTGCTTTTCGCCGGAGAAACGTGTTCATTTGAAGCAGTCGCAAGAAAAGCGTTGTGCAGTGCAAATATCACCTGTAAAAAAGAGCCAAAAACGACTTGGAAACTTCAGTGATCAATTTACAGTGGATAAAAAAAGCAAGATAACACCAACAAAATTAAATTTCACTTTCAATGACTTATTTAGCAATAGATATCACACTCTACAACAGGCACTAGATGCAGATCTCTTCAAAACAGTGGATGTGAAAGTGAAAATCATGATCAAAGGTGAAGAAAAAGAGCCTATATACATAAAAGGCGTTACCAAATTAAAAGTCGATTCAACTGTAGCTGATGCAACAAACACAATGAAGCTTGCTATTTGGGAAAATTGCATATCCAAAATCCAAACTGGAAATTCTTATCATATTCAAAACTGCAAAATACATGTTTTCAATGATAAGAAGTACTTATCAACAAATGAAAAAACTGTCATCAGCGAAATCAGTGATATCAAAGATGTTAACTTAGACAAGTTGGAAACTGAAGATTGCCTCCTTGCTGCTTCATGTGTTGGCGTTGATGTCAAAGTTCAAACAACCTGCATGTTTTGCAATAAAAAGCTTTCCTCATCCCAGCCACAAAGTGAAGTCATCACTTGTGACCATTGCAAATTAACCACATTAGCAAGCACAGTCAACAAAAAAGTAGTCTGTCAACTTGTTCTGAAGTCTGATGATGGAAACATGAATAACTACACTGCATTCAATGATGCTGTAAAGAGTTTTTTAACAAATGTTGGATGTGATACACCTGTCAATGATATTGACAATGAACAGTTAACATTACTCTTTCTTAAAGCTGGTCCTCAACTCATGATTGTTGACAAAAGTGTCAAGGTCATTGCACAGTTTTTAAAGAGCAAATAAGTCATCAAAGACAATCTAAAGTTTTTTTATATATTGAACAGTAAACTGTCAGGAACTTCATATAACATGACATTTAATGTTGTCACATTGTTAAATGGTGCCTTTGTGCACCTCATGTTCTTTTGAAATTGTCTTAATTAATACAAACCATTTATTATGAGTTGAATCTTACAAATTGTTAAACAATGAATAAGTTCAAAATGCATCTGATATCAACTTGATTCATCAAGTTGAAACATCAAGATGAAACAAGCCTGCACCAGACCTTTGTCAACTTGGGCATGTCTGGCTGTGTAAATGAAAATATATTTCTTAATTAAGCCAAAATGATGAAAAACATAACATCTGAATAACAAGAGGCCAAACTACATCCACAACCATGACCAGCCAACAATTTTAAAAAGTAAAGCATACAAAGCAGAATACAATTATATGATTCAAAACAACATGCAAGATGAGGTTGTAAAATTTTTGCACAAAATGAAATACAACACTTTGCAACACATATATAACTAAAAATATACGTTTGTTTGAGACTGTATTAGCAACTAGTCTCTCTTCTAGTGCAGTGGGCCAACATTTCTCTGGGTCTAAACATGCCCAATTCTTAGTTAGTTTAAAAGACCAGTTCACATTATTCTACATCTTCAATCCGTCAAATTCTGACATCTCCTCCCACTGAAAACCTTGTATTTTATGACTACAGAAATATTAAACACAATGTTGCTTCTCTAACTCTTAAAGGCCAACAAAACACAATATTGCTGCTCTAACTTCTTAGTATAAAACCACAACTGTTATAGGATATTAACGCTCTTTTACTGTTTGGGTCTTTCCTTTTGTTATTACTTTATTTCGTACGTTGAAGTAAAACCTTGTTGTAAATGTTGGCGTCGCTATATTTTCTGCTTTACTCGTTCATTTCCTTATAATGCTTCACTTATATAAAGCTTTCTTCCGCCCATATGATGGATGCTCTCTCTCTCTCTGTCGTATTATAAATATTGTATTGCATTTTGTGTGATGATGACTTTGAAATAGAGTTGAAATTGACATTGAATCAAATGTTGTATTCTCAATATGTTTTGTTTATATTCCAAATTTCTGATTGCTAATTGCTGATTGGCTTATTAGACAGTGTAAGCTCGTCGCTGAATGGCTAAAAGTCACTTACGGTACGGTACGCAGGCGATAGCATTATATCTGCTTCGCAGATACAAAAATGAATAAATCCTTAACTCTCATTGACTCGTCTAAATTTAATGACTTATTGAATGCTTTTGAAGAGGAAAGAAAGGAAAAAAAATTATTACGTGGAATTGTTGAACCGAAATTGCAACAAATGTTGATGGCGAATGAAAAAATGAAGCAGGGTGATATTTCAGATCGTGAAAATGCTGTTATTCAGTTTTTGAGAAAAAAGGAGAAATTTTTGGAAGGAAAAAAGGAAAAAAATAATCCTCCCCCCATTAACAATGAAAAAGAGGAAGAAAAAGATGGAGATGAAAAACAACTGCAATTTGATAATAGAGATGCTGAAAAAATTCCTAAATTTATTAAACATAAAAAAATCATAATAACCGAACGAATGCAATCTGATTTGGTTCATGATTTATCACACCAAAGAGCAATGCAAAATTTAAATCTGGGTGAGCAAAGTCCTAATTTTGCCCTAACAAAGTTAAAAAAAGTAAAATGCCTGTGTCATATATAAAAAATAGAGGAATAAGAACCATGTACAAGAATATGATTGATGGCAGTGCTAGTGAAAGCAGTGATGAATTTACATCGCGTATTCCAAGATCAAGACGCGGATCACCATTATTAAAAGCTGATGCAGCACTGAAAAAATCAGATGATTTAATAAGAAGTGCTGAGAAATTACGAAGAGCTAAAGACTATCCCTATTCACGTGTAGAAAGACGAAAATTATATAAATAAGTAATGTTTATGTTTCAAGAATTTTTTTTTGGGAAAATATTTACAAATAGTAGTAGTAATAACTTATAAAGTAAAACAGTTTGAAAAACACCCAGGTATTTTTGGAGAAAAAGGAAACAAAAAGGGTTGGAGTTTAAAGTTTATAAATTCTTTGCTTTAAAATAAAGTTGTACAAACATGACACAAAGGGGTGGAATATTACCATTGTTATTAATGAAACAAATGGAATGGGTGTAAAAAGAAAGCAAAAGGGTTTAAGCCGGTCGGCTTCAAGGAGATTGACGAATAAAATAAAACAAAGAGGTGGAATGATTAATGATTGGTCAATTTTTGGAAATCCTGGTCCCTTTCCCAATTATAATAGAATTCAACGAATTAAATGACGAAAAAAATTAGCACACTTTGCAAAAACACAAAAAGGTGGTTTCAGAAAAAAAATTGTTGGAAAAAGGAAAAAAATATATAAAACAAAAAGGGGGTGTTGGATCCTTGGCAATGATGGCTGCAATGTTGGCGATGGTTCTTCTTTCTTCATTAATGGGGAAGTAATAAAGTTTAACGCGATCTGTTTTGTTAGCAAGTATTTGATGACCGATGACATTGATAAACTTGGAAAAAAATACATAGACAATTTTCTGGGTGCATATCCTGCTGATATTTTACCATTTAGTGAATTAAATAAAAAATGTTCATGGATGTGGAATACAGATACAGCTAATAAACCAGGTCAACATTGGGTTGCAGTAAAAATAAAGGCGGACAAAATGTTTTTTTTTGACAGTTTTGGAATAAAAGCAGAAAAATACCAACAATTTTGGAATA